AGTTGGGAGACTTTAACACCTCCACCTGTATCAATGGACAGATCGTCCGGAGAGAAAATCAGTACGGCAACAGAGGTCCTAAATGACGCAACAGATCAGTTTGGCTTGCCTGATACCTACAGGACACTACACCCGAAAAAAACCCAAAATACACATTTTTTTCAAGCACACAAGGAACAATCTCTAGGATTAACCACGTACTAGTCCACAAAACAAGCCTCAACAAATTTAAGAGGATAGGAAATAGTTCAAGCTTTGTTTCTGATCACAATGGTACACAATGAGAAATCAACCAGAGAAAGAAAAGTGGGAAAAGAACAACATGGGGATGCTGAATAACATGCTACTAAAAAAATAAATAACAATGGGTCAATGATGAAATCAAAGACAAAATCAGAAAATAACTCAAAATAAATGAAAATGAAAACAACAATTTAACAAAACCTGTGAGATGCTGCAAAAGCAGCTCTAAGAGGGAAGTTTACAGCAATACAGGCCTTCCTCAAGAAGTAAGAAAAACCTCAAGTTAACAATCTCACTGCCACCCAAAGAATTAGGAAACACGGGAGCAAACAAAACCCAAGTCAGCAGAAGGAAGGAAATTATAGCAAAGATCAAAGAGGGAATAAATAATAATAGACATTAAAGAAAAAACAATAGGAAAGATCAATATAACCAAGAACTGGTTTTTTGAAAAGATAAACAAAATTGACAGACCTCTAGCCAGATCCACCAAGAGAGGACCCAAATAAACAAAATAAAAACTGAAAGAGAAGAGATAACAACCAATATCATAGAGATGTAAAAGCATAAGCGAGTACTATGAACAGTTACATGCCAACAAATTGGACAACCGAGAAGAAATGGACAAGTTTCTAGAAATATACAGTCTGCTCAGACTGAATCAAGAACCAGATCATTGGAACAGGCCAATCACTAGAAGTGAAACAGAATCTGTAATTTAAAAATTCCCTGCAAACAAAACTTCAGGAGCAGATGGCTTCACTGTGGAATTCTACCAAACATACAATGAACTTATACTTATCCTCAAAGTATTTCAAAAATTGAAGAGGAGGGAACACTCTCAAATTCATTGTATGAGGCCACCATGACCCTGATACCAAAAGCAGATAAAGATACCTTTTCCAAGGTCACAAAGATGGTTCAACATATGTAAATCAATCAGTGTGATACACCACACTAACAAAAACCACATTATCATCTCAATAAACACAGAGAAAGCATCTGATAAAATTCAACATCTATTCATGATAGAAAACTCTCACCAAAGTGGATATAGAGGGAACACGTCTCAAAATAATAAAGGCCATTTACACAAACCCAAAGCCAACATAATACTAAACAGTGAAAAGCTGAAGGCCATTCCATTAAATTCAGGAACAAGATAAGGATGCCCACTCTCACCTCTTTTATTCAAAATAGTATTAGAAGTCTTAACCACAGCAATTAGACCAACAAAATAAGAAGAAAAAAAGAAATAAAGTATATAAATTGGCAGGGAAAAGGTAAAACTATTTGCACCCGACAGGATACTCTATGCAGAGAACCCTTAAGTCTTCACACAAAAATTATTAGAATTAATAAATGTTACAAGGTTAATATACACAAATCTATTGCATTTCTTTACACTAATAATGAAATATCAGAAAGAGAAAGTAAAAAAAAAAAATCCCTTTTAAAATCACTTTAAAAAAATGATAAAATACCTATGAATAAACTTAACCAAGGAGGTTAAACACCTATATGCCGAAAACTATAAAACACTGATAAAGGAAACTGAAGATGATTTAAAAAAATGGAAAGATATCCTGTGCTTTTGGATTGGAAAAATTAGTATTATTAAAATGGCCATACTACCCAAATCAATCTACAGATTTAATCCAATCCCTATCAAAATGACATGACATTTTTCACAGAACTAGAACAAATAATCCTAAAATTGATATGGAATCACAAAAGACCCAGAACTGCCAAAGCAATCCTGAGAAAAAAGCTGGAGGAATAACTCATTCAGACTTCAGTCTATATTACAAAGCTACAGTAATCAAAACAGTGTGGTATTGTCACAAAAAGACAAATCAACAGAACAGAGAAATAAAACCACACGCCTACAGTCAATTAATCTACAACAAAGGAGGCAAGAATATACAATGGAGAAAAGACAGTCTCTTCAACAAGTGGTTCTGGGAAAGCTGAACAACTACATGTAAATCAATGAAACTAGAACCTTCCCTCACACTTTATACAAAAATAAAATCAAAATGGTTTAAAGACCTAAATGTAAGACATGATACCATAAAACACCTACAAGAGAACAAAGGTGAAACATTCTTTGACATAAATCATAGCAATATTTTCTTAGATCTGTCTCCCAATGCAGAAGAAAAAAAGCAAAAATAAACAAATGGTACGTAATCAAAATTACTAACTTTTGCATAGCAAAGTTTGTTGCACAACAAAATGAAAAGACAACCTATAGAATGGGAGAAAGTATTTCCAAATCATACAACCAACAAGAGGTTAATATCCAAAATATACAAACAGTTCATACAACTCAATGGTGAAAAAACAAACAACCCAATCAAAAAATGGGCAGAAGACCTAAACAGACATTCTTCCAAAGAAGTCATACAGATGGCCAACAGACACACGAAGAGATGCTCAATATCACTAATTATTACAGAAATACAAATCAAAACCAAAATGAGGTATCAACTCACACCAGTCAGAATGGCCATCATCAAAAAGGCTACAAATAATAAATGCTGGAGAAGGTACAGAGAAAAGGGAACCTGCCTACACTATTGGTGGGAATGTAAGTTGGTACAGCCACTATAGAAAACAATATGGAGGTTCTTCAAAAAGCTAAAAATAGAGCTACCAGGTGATCCAGCAATGCCACTCCTGGGTATGTATCTGGAAAACAATGAAAATTCTGATTCAAAAGGATACATGCACCCCAATGTTCACTGCAGCACTATTTACAATAGCCAAGACATGGAAACAACCCAAGTGCCCATCAACAGACAATTGGCTGAAGAAGATGTGCCATAGATAGACAGAGAGAGAGAGAGAGAGAGAGAGAGAGAGAGAAGAATACTACTCAGCCATTAAAAAGAATGAAATAATGCCATTTGCAGCAACATGGATGGCCCTTAAGAATATTATGCTTAGTGAAATAAGTCAGACAGAGAAAGACAGATAAGCAACAAGGATTTACTGTATAACACAGAGAATTATATTCAATATCTTGTAGTAACCTATAATGGAATATAACCTGCAAAAGAAACCAAACAACTCAATCACTCCGCTGTACACCAAAACTAACAATTTTACAATACTGTAAATCAAGTATACTTCAATAAAAAATTATTTTAAAACATCAAATATTTTTATCAGAATACTTGAGCACGGATTGCTTTCATAGTTAGTGGGGAAAGTCTCGAAAAAAAACTATTTCCATTAAAATAATAATAAAAACAACAATAATAAAAATAAACTAGGTCAGATCACCTCACTCTTGTCCTCAAAACACTTGGGGGCTCCTGCTAGTCACAGAATCGAGTGCACACGCCTCACGTGATGATGTCACAGCCCTCTGTCCCAGCCCCTCCTCCCTGCCCACACCCTCCCTTGGCAGCTGGACCTCCGCTGAGCTCACGCTGGCAGGGAACACGGGGCTATGCCTTTGTGTACACGGTGCTTCTCCGCCTGGCTTCCCTGGCTTCAAAACAACCTCCTGGTTCGCTAACCACTCCCTCCTGGGCCTCTGCCACAGCATTTGCTTCACCCTGTCTTATTCTGGGATTCTAAACCATAAACTCCCTGAAAGCCCACTGTGTTTCTCTACTCCTTCCCCACACAACTCAGATTCATTCCTCTAACTCAGCATGTACTCAACACATATCTGTTAAACAGAAGGACAAGTGTATTTTATATTCAGTTGAGTTGCATCAGTTGAACTATAAAAGGTGATAAGATAAAGCTGAAAAAAATGGACTGGCATTCCATGGAAGCAATGTAAATAAATAAGCTTTAGTTGAAAAGTCGTTAATATCTGAATGAGCACTGACTGGCTGGAGGTGTATTTCAAGTTCAAAGCTGAAGTGGTGGCAAACCACCACTGGTCACTTCTCCACAAGCTTCAGTTTAAGACGGTGACCTGAGCCCAAATGCGGCTTTCCCTGCCACATCAATTCCCCAGAAAGGAAGAAAACCATACAAAAATAAATTAATCCATAATGCTTTTTTGAAAGCTGCTAAGTAATACCCAGTGGCAATTTTATATAGTGGATTTTCCCATCCCAAATCTTTCTCCAGTTTCCTCCAAGACTCCTTCCAAATGTCGGCAGCCCCGCCCACCCACCGCCAACTGCGGCGGGCGCTTCACCTGATCCGCAGTGGGGCCGCGTTACCTTGGCATCGGCGATGTCCACGAAGTTGTCCTTGTCGGTGAGTCGGAGGTGGTGCACCTGGAGAGGAGTGCCCAGAGCTTCCAGTGCCTCAGGGTGGCTGCGCAGCTGCTCCAATGCCAGCTGGTAATAGGAAGCCCTGGAAAAAGTTTCTAAGTGGGAAACAGAGTGGTTACATTTTTTTTTTCTTTATTGACTTGGTCAGGTAGACTCTGTAGAAAATTTAATGATGCAATT